CTCCTCAGTAGTTGCATCGTCATTAGAGGATAACCGATCCACCTTTTCCTTTAACTCCTCAACACTCTTCTCTGAGTTCAGATTGTGCTGTCTTTTCCAATCACATAACGCTCGCCTGCAGCTTTTAATATGCTCCATAATACTTGCACCCGGTGGTAAATCTGGCGATTTCCAACCTTCAGGTATAATCTGTCTGAGTTCCTCATTCTGGAGCCAGCGCTTATCAAATTTAAAATTTCTCGATCTTCGTGGCTTCTTTCTAAGAATGTCTGCCATGATTGGACGATGATCCGAACCCCAAAGCCTCATATACTGCACTTTAGAATGAGGGAACTTCTCATGCCAGTTCTCATTTCCCACAGCCCTATCAAGTCGACATTTAACTGTACTATTTCCTGCTCTCCTCCCTACCCATGAGAGCATGTTCCCTGTGAAAGGGAAATCCAGCATACCACAATCAGTGAGCATCTGCTTAAACGGCAAGAAAGAGCTATCTGCACGTTGTCTGCCACCTTCTTTCTCTTCATGACAAGTAATTTCATTAAAATCACCAATCATAAACCATGGTCCATTTTTTGTTGTTGAGAAACGCGTAAGACGTTNGAAAGAAACACTAGTCCTGGGCGATGCTTCTGACACATCTCCGTAAGGCGTCGAACTGTAAGGTGGTTTCCAATCCCTCGACAGTTCCAACTGATTGTCTTCATGGATGATTGTGGGATGGGTTTTTGGACCCCATCGAACCACTGGATTTGTTTGTCTTAGATCGAACCGTTCCAGCATTATGGCTGGACTGTTGTTGTTTGCCTCTCCCCCCTGCGTGCTTCTGAGAATTCAGAGACCTCAAACGTGGAGATCCTCGACGGAGAACCTCTTTCCTCTTGGGAGTACGCCTGTTACTACTCCTCATCCCTTTGAAACTCCTGTCGCCTCTAGAATTGTCTTTTTCCGGCGGAATGTCTCCTGGCACATTGGCATTCAGCTCCAAAAGCTCCTCATCAAAAAGATCATCTTCTTCCACTGCCATTATTTCCTCTTCTATACCAGGTAAGGGTTCCATGTTAGTCAAAGCCTCAATCATTCCAGCATCATCTCCATGCATCTCATTTGTATATGACAAAGAGCGGATCACACTTCTTGGGCGGATCGTTACATTTTCCTGCATATTTGGAGAAGTAATGGTACTAGCTAGTCTTCTTGTCCGTGGTAACACCGGTTGGTGTGTGTGATCAGCTTCCAGCATGTCCTCATCATCCCTTGCTGATCCCTCCGGAGAAAACCTATCCCTAGAGCGGGGTATTACAGCCTTTGGTGCTCGAGAGCTCGACCCTGTCCGTAGTGGTCGTGAATCCCCTGACCCAGCAGCTGCAGTTAGGTCGTGAGAATCATGGTGATGTGTCCCCCTAGTACCTTGCGCCGAACGAAAGTTCTTTCCCCTCTCCGTCGCACGCCATGTCATTCCATCGTTTTCCTTGTAATTCACTTGAAGCTGACGGCCTCCCGAGCTATATCTCACCGCTTCTTCATATTCCCTACGTTCCCTCTTTTCAACAGGTTTCCACTGATTCTCCTTTTTACGAGCATAAGGTCGATTTAGTTTGTTTGGCTGCCGCTCATCACGCCTCCGAATAACTCGGTGCTGTTCAGAATTGTGGCGTTGAGATGTTCCAGTCATCTTATGCTGATAATCTCGACGAGGAGGACGATCATCAGCCATGGGAGGGAGCGTCAAAGCTTTAGGAAGATGATTTTGGTGACGGTTGTTCTCCTGCGTTTGATACCTTGAGGGATCATCCGCTTTGCGAGCAAAAGATGCACCATGGCGAGTATTATGCTGAGTGGTGTCCGTAGTGTTATACCGAGCATTCGGCTCAGCTACCTTGGAATCAGTAAGCAAAGGCTTGTGATCCCCATCCTCTTGTGGCAAACGGAGACGAGCAAGCACACCAGTCCTTGGACTATTATTCAAAGACTTCGTCGGACAGTATTCCTTTTCATGCGTTAAGAAACCACAAGTGACACAATGCTTAAACAAGAGATCATATGTAATCTTTATGGTTACAGCATCCCCTTCTGAATTCGTTGCCATCCTTGTAAACTTTAGGGGTTTCCGTGTGTCTATATCAATCAGCATTCTTCCTTCCTCAAGTTTTAGAGTATCGACTCGACCCAGAGAATTCCCAAGTCCTTCCAGATTCTTAAGAGTCCATAAGTGCAACGGCACTCCAGTGATAGTGACCCAAAAGGGGATGATCCATGGATACTCATCATGCACGATTGGTTCCCATCGCACTAACACAAACATACAGAAGTTAAAATGGAAAGGGCCTTGACGTAGAACCTCCTTTAGATCCTCCTCAGTGGTGAAGTTTAGCAAGAACTTTCCGTTACCCAAATCGTTTGCTGTGATGCGATCTTCCATTCCCCATTGCCTTGGCATATAATTAATTAGCTTCTCAACATTTTGTTTCTTTGGGTTCAAAATTTTCCCTATAAGAGAAAGCTTAAACTCCTGGATGATATGTGGATCTTCCTCATCAATGAGCTGGAAAGGCGCTTCCTCCTCCTCCCACATGATCGCCTTACCTTTGTTCGTAGCCGACGTAATAGAGTCGTAAGGACCCATTACAAAGGCGTAGCAGAGGTGAGTTTTATATCAAACCAGTTCCAACAAAGGCGTAATAGACGGCCTCTTTCCCTGTAAGTTAGGAAACCCATAAAATACAGTATATATATATATTAAATACAGTATATATCCCAAGCTTATTTCACTTGATTAATTTTTCTTTCATCATTTTACGTACCTTCATGTTGAAATCGCACCCGTACGTGTAATGTATGATGTACGTCTTCTTTGATTCAGTGTCCCAAGGAGGCTACACAAGAAGTAAAAGAACACGACTTGTTAGGTTCCAAGAAGTCTGAAATTTCTCAGTATATGCTACATGAGGTTCATGTCAACAAAAAAAATACTACATAAAGTTTAATTGATCGAAACCTGAATCATGAAGTCTTTGTGTAGAATGTTGCTCACACCATGTAACGCCGAAGAAACGGCATATGCATACCTTATAACAAATATCAAACATAGCCTGTTTAATATAACATTGTAAGTCTAGAACTTGACGAAAAGAAGAGTAAAGAGACGTATATTAATCTTTGGAAGAAGGAGAAGTTGTAACGAAGATAAAGAGACGTATATTAATCTTTGGAAGAAGGAGAAGCTGTAACGAAGATTTTGATGAATGTCTGAGATTCAAAGAAGGGACATCGTATATATTGTCAAGCTTTCCTAATGGTATGAGATTGACATATTTGGCATTGAATTTCCAACTTCTCACACAAGTTATCGAATATAAGTTAAGGAAAGTAAATAACTTATACATTAAATTTTAGAGATACGATTCTCGTATATAAATCCTAACACTTGCACGCCAAACAAAAAATAAATGAAAAAGAAAATTAAAATAAATCAACCAATCAGATTAAAAGAATTAATCTGAGAAGGCCTCTATGAGTGCCACGTGTCAAAGTGACTTCTCTTTTAATGTATAGGGGGATATATACATTTTTAAGGGACCAACTCTGCTAGGTATAAAACAATATATTTTCTTTCCTTAAATAAAAGCTACGAAATTACCTAATATGATTAACATATATATGTAATTAATGATTATGAATAATACATATTTTTGTGTCCTCTCTCTTTTTTGTTTAATTTTAAATTATTAAAATAAATTAAACAATCACATTAAATATATAATAAAAATTAAATTTTTTATTATAGGTTATATTTTTATTTTTTTTTAAATGACCATAAATAACTAAAAATAGTAAAATCCCACATTGAAAATTTTATGATCAACGGTTTAACTTTGTTTTTTTCAAACAAGATACAAATTATCATAAATTGTACGAATATGAAGTATCATTAGTAGATATTCATATTATAAATATGTTAATTTAAAAATTTCAGTGAAAAGGTTTAAGATTAGTAGATACAGATTATAGTATTCGAAAGATTTTTGTAGTTTGTTTTATTTGCTTTTTTTTAGAAAATATCTTTTAGTTTGTTTAGATAATTTAACTAATTTTAAATTGGATTTATTAATAGTTTAAATATTTTGAATTTTTTGTCAACTTTTAATGTTTAAAAAAAATGTTTAGGATGATTTCAGATATTGGTTATAATCCAATCTAAACTGAATTGAGAAGAACAAATCGAATCCAATCCGATAATTAGTAAAATTCAAATAGGATTTATGATAATAATACCAAAATCTGAAAATAAGTCTCAATCAAACCAAAACCGACGAAGTCTCAAACGTCCAGACCTGTGATGATTTACGATACCAATATTTGTATTCATTATTTTATAATCGATAAATATTGTAGTATTGCAAAATGTTAAAAACCATTTAATGAATAAATATTGGTATAAAAATTTCACTCCGTGCATGTGCGCGGGTTATCATCTAGTATCTCTTATTTTACAACTAGTTTTGATTTAAACTATAGACATATGCTCTCTAATTCAAGAGTAAAGTTGGTCAAAAAGATATGTGAGTATTCTCCAAACACTATATGTGTCTTTAAGGGTAATTATAAACACATAATATGTTTAGGGGTAAATTTTTCTTTTACCTCTTTCCTAACAACACCATCATACGAAACGTATTGCCAAGCAACAATTAGGCAGCCACCGGTCACGACCATCACCAGAGCGGAATCCCTAGTAAGCTAAGAGATCATTTACTGATAAAGAAATGTATTGAATGTTTCATTCTTATATAAGGTATCAATATCGATTTTATATTTATATGCAAATATATCCACTAGAAATAAGGGTGATTATTGACAAATTTAATTAATGAACATTAGAGAAAACACTACAAGAGTAAAGGGACTATAGTGCAATACTTAGTAAAATATAATTCTTACATTAATTTAAAAAAGAAATATAAAAGGGAACCCCTAAATTGTTTCTTCTCCCAGCCGCCGCCGAGCAGAATCGCCGTCGCTGTTGTACAGCCAGAATCGCTCGTAGATGGCTTACAGAGGAGGGCGAGGAAGAGGAAGAGGCGGGTTTGGTGGGTTTGGCATTGAGTACGCAAAGGCAGAACCTTTTGTTATTTTCCCTGTAAGTTCAAAAACTTCATCTCCTCTCGTTTCATCTTTATGATGCAAAAAGGCTGAACCTTTTTTTTTTTTGGTTGCAGGACATTACGTTACCTGACCGTAAATCAATCTCAGACGATGCCCAATTACTTAAGAACTTCACTTCTTTTGAGAGGTTCTGGAAAACTTCGGCTTACCACTTAGGCGATGGAGTTTCAAAGAAAGGTATCTTCTTATACTACAAATCAAAAACTCTCTTAGACAGCAGTTTGGAACCTTAAAAGGTTTGGTCTTTTTTTTTGGGGGTATTTAGAGAGTGAGAGTTTAGACATTGAGAGGTTTTCAGACACGTTGAAGCCGACGAAGAAGAAGTCTAATGAGAGGGGATCTTTCTATGACTTTCTTGTTCTTAGACCTGATAACTTCCCTAAAGAACTTCTTGGAGGTTTGGAACTAATCTTCATCTTTTAGTTTAGATTCTTCTTTTAAGCTACTGTTTGATCATATGCAATCTTTTCAGATACTCGAAGAGAACGGCCTGTGAAGAGAGCAAGATGGACTCAAGCCGCAGGTAACTTTGTTGTTTTTATTAGCTTCTTACACATAAAGAAACACTCAAAGTTTATCTTCTGTTTTTGTAGATCTTCACAAGTTGGAGGTCTTGGAGAAGCTTGAGGCAAAGGTATAACAAACAAGTTTTACAGTTCATTGTTTAAGGAGCCCTCTACAATTGTTTGGTTTTCGTTTCGTTTATAGGCTGATGCCAAGGAAGAGAATGAAGAAGGAGAAGGTGATGATGAAGTTGAGGAATCTGAGGGAGAAGATTCTGAAAATGGAGATTATGATCAGGTTCTTCTTATTCTTTTCCGACTAATTGGTGAAATGATGTCAACTCTTCTGGCTTTTGAAGTTTAGTTAAAGTTTCTTCTTCTTTTATGTTTTGTAGACTAAAGACTTTGATGATGACGACGACGATTATAACGAGCCGGAGGATAACGATAGTAAGCATATTTCATCTTTACACTCTCAAGATTATACGCTTGCAAACTTATATAAAATGACTCCAACTAACTTTGTGTCTCTCTTTTCTTGTCACAGATGAAGAAGTGTATTAAAGCTTCTTCTTATTTTTCCTCCCAAAAAAGGATTCAAGTTTTGAGAACAGGAGATGGTGAAAACTCAATTATGGCTTCATACAAATCACTTTCAAACCCTCGTAGAATAAATATAGTTTGGCATTTGTTGCTTTCATTCTTTGTTTTTTCTTTTGTTGCTTTTTTGTTTGTTTCACGTCAAATCATATAAGAACAGAAACTACACTAAAATTATGTGTCTTTTAGTTCAGATTCTTCGGAATTCTCAAGTCTCTCATTTCTCATTAATCTGATCATAATAATCAAAGGAGACTGGATCTGGAAAAAAAACGTGAACAGGATCCGGAACCAACAAAGCAAATGATATCGTATATAAAAGTTAAATTCGGCTATTTCCGTTTGGATTTTGGATATAATTTTTGTTTGGTTTAAGAGAAAACTGGTATGATTTGGTTAAAATTAAAAACAAAAGAACTAACCGAGTACGGTATGATTTAAAAAAAAAAGAATCTGCAACCAAACCTTTAACCGAACTTGAACCGAAAACATATAATTTTGGTTTGATTGATTTCCACAGCTTTGATTGTGTTAGTAATGTTTTGTTGGAGCTCTTTTGATTCATTTTACTATGTTATATAGATGGCAGAGAGGACCTGCGTTTATATCGGAGTTAGTTATCCCCAATTGTCTTTATCATAATAGGGGAGCTTATCATTTGAAGAAGGTAATCGAGCTATTAGTTCCACATATTACGTGGTTTTCTTGTTCTTTGCAGATTGTAGAGTACGCAAAGAAGAAAGATTATATTAAAAAAAATCGTATTTATATTCATTAAAAATCCTATTTTTATTCATAAAATCGTATCAGAACCATGGTAATAACTTGGTAACTACATAGTTTGCAAATATATATATATATATATATTTTTTTTTTTTTTTTTGTTTAATATTTATTGCCTTTGATATCTTGGCTAATGTTTTTTTTTTGTCAACCTTGGCTAATGTTATTACTTGTGGTGTCTCTCAGATTTTTTTCAGCTACTCTCCTGAAAAAACAAAATTTCTGTGGTAGGAGAGTTATTACTTATTACTTGTGGTGTCTCTCAAAATTTTATTATAATTATATTTATAAAAATCTAATATATATATATATATATTTGTTTTTTTTCTAACATAGGTTTGCTAAGTGATTTTATCCAATTTTATTTTGTAAATATTTAAAATTAGATAGTGTAAGATGACATGATATAATATGTTTGCTGAAACATGATATAATATATTGTATAATAGATTATTATTCAGCATAAGATATAATGTATAATGTTACTAGGACCGGTCCGGGCTACGCCCGGATTTTTCGTTGAAATTTTAATTATATATGTTGTATGTTATTATGATAAAAATATTATAATCTATTATAAAATATAAGTAATTAGACAAATTATATAATATTTTTAATTATTTATTTTTTATTGTCTTTCGAATTTCAAAAATTTTGATGTCCAAATTTTGTATATCATAGATTATCAGTATGTGTTTTACGTAGAATTGTTGTGTATTGTGGCTCGTCTCGACTTTTGTTTCTTTATTTATTGTGTATTATTATTTTATTTTCAATTTATTTATTATTCATTGTTTACTGTTTTAATCTTTTTTTGATAATAATTCTAAATTTAATCTTATTTACCTAAAATAGAAAGAAAATTTAGTGTGTGAATATTTTTTTCTTAGGGTTGATGAAACGTAAAGGAAAACAACATGATAATAGATTTTCCGTCTTTCCAAACTTCTTGACTTCTTTATTTTTTTTGAATATGTTTAAGTATTCTGTAACTTTTACTTAATTATTAAATCTTTATTAAACTTTTCATTAATCATATGAAACAAACTTTTCGTTAAACTCATGTTATACTACATAGCATAATTAAATTTGATTTAGTCTAGTTTTATATTTTATTAGTTCTTGGTTTTTAAATTATTTTCATTATGTATTAATTGTTAATTTTATATCATTTTGTATTCTAGGTTAACCTTAAATTTGGTAGTAAAAAGGGAAAAAAATCTGTGAGATTCAATATTTTAATTTTCGTTGGTATAAATCTAATAAAATGTATAAAGATTAATGGCGTAAACTGATTTATCCTCTTTCTCATGAATTTTATTTATTATAATTATAAATTTATTTGTTTTAATTATATTATGTATTTACACTAAATGATTATTTTATTATAATTATAATTTATTATAATTATAAATTTATTTTTTTTATATAAGTAATTTTTAACATTTGTCAATGTTGATAAAATAAAATATCTAAAATATAAATTATAGATTATTTTCAGATTTATACATTTTTGTTGAATTCATGGATACTATGATTTTTTCTAATATGTTTTTAATATCAAAATAAAAAGATTCAAACCTCTTAAAAAGAATTGATAAATGCATTCACATAAAGTAAATATTTGTTAATATTTAACATTAATTTTTTGCGTAATAATAATTTGGGATAATTTGAAAAATATCCTGTTTATGATTTGAATTTTCAAAAATAGTTTTCTTTTTTCCCTTTTTTAAAACTACACTTTATTATGTGTGATAAGACATTCTTATCCTTATTTAAAGTAAATTACAAATATTAATTACTAAAACACAATCTGAAAATACTATTATTATTTATGTTTGGGATAAATATATTCTTGAGATAATTGCAGGTTAATGTTGTTGTTGTCTTCATGGCATAAAAAGATGAACGGACTGAAACACTTAACCTTCACATAATGGAAAAGAGAGAACTCAAATATTTTTAAGAGTGGTAAAATTAATTCATATATTCTATGAAACTGCAAGAGTCTTCTGTGTTACATATGCACAAAGTTCACAAAAGATCACTCGTCCTTCGAACCATTGTGTGATAAAAAAACAAAAGATCATCAATGTGTGTCTAGTCGTATACGAAGACGAAAACCTTTGAGTTGGAACAAGTGATCATTTATTTATTTGCTAAGAACGCTCACTTTACTGACTGTTTGTTTTTGCTATTTTTCAGTTTTTGTATCGTTGATATTTTTTTTAAAAAAAAAATCTTAACATTAATTTCGTTTTTCTTTATTTTATCGAGATTCTTGTTTTTTATATTATTTGTACTAATATATTTTTAATGATGATAAAAGAAAACAATGTTTAAAATAATTTTATTAAGATTTTAATTTAGATATTAGAGTATTTATAACATTCAAATTTGACAATTTGGTCATTTCACCTATAAAAAAGTGTAGTTTTCAAAAAAATAAAAAAATGGGAGTAATTTTCAAAATATAATCTCACATAAAGGCATCTTTCCAAATTTCCCCTAATAATTTTGCATGTCATGTGTTACTTTCTCCTCATCATATTTAGTGATATAGCATCACCATGAGAAAGAAAACTTAATTTTATATAATAAGATTATATGTAACATTAGAATTTTCTTTTTTTCTATAATAACTTTTATTTTTATTACTGTTTTGGTAAGTTATATACTTATTTCACTATTAAATAAATTTATTAAAAGATAAATATTTTATTTTATTTTTGATATTTTTTTAATTTTATTTTTAAAGTGAGTTTTTTTTTTCTCAAAAAACTTAATTGAAGGGATTTAATAGAAAACATAGATCATTCTTTTGATATATTTATATTTGAATTTTTATTTTAGTTTATTCATTTTTATAAAAATGATGATTATATGATCCTAGAAATGAATAGCTGATTCATTATAACAAAAATATATTTAAATTAGGTATGAAACAAAAAAACTAATATTAATTGTTTCTGGTTAGAAAGATGTATGTTTGTTTGAATTTTATATATGCTTTCATAGCAGAAAAACGAAACTGATTAGTTTTTTTCTTTTAGTAAGTAACCTTTAACATTGAGCTCATTTAATGTAATTGATTTAGTATATATTAACAATTTACTATATACTATCATTAGTCGTATCTTATATATTAAAACAGAAGTCATGACTTGATTTCATGTGTGATTTTTTAAAAATGGACTATTACTAGAAAATCATGTTACATTAACTCTCTAATAATCTTATCATTATTATATCTTATGAAAAATTATATCTATAATAAATTATCCCACACCTTCCAACTTAGTCACGCAAAATATATCAATAGATATATGTTTAGGAATCTTCTATTATTTATAAGGAAATATGTCAATAATAGTTAAATGCGTCCACAATATATTAACAAAAATCATAGATTAATATTTATATACCCTAACAAAATTTACACGCTATATATACTAGATAAATTTATTTCGATGTAAATTTTTAAAATTATATTGTTTATAAAAACTGTTTAAAAATTCCGTTTTAATAAAATTCTTTATAATATTAATTTATAAAGCTATAAGTTTAGTTTTTAGCAAAAATTTCTTCGAAGTTTATATTATCTTTGCAAATTAAAGTATACTAATATTTAATCAAGCTCTATTTATATTACTTTATCTAAAAATGAAATACTAATCTAACAAACAATAAAATATAGAAGAAGAAACAAACACAGGTTTGAAAAACATATATAATATAGAAAATTTGAAACAATTTATTTGATTAAAACATGTATTATAGAATATTATTATGTTTGAAAAAAATTTACTATACATATTATAAATATGTGATTACTATAATATATACCAATTTACAAGTGAAAACAAAATGTTTATATCTCTATAATATTACTAGGTGATTTTCCCGTGCTCATGCACGGACATAAAAATTTATAAAATAGATATATTATAATAGTTGATTGATATTTACTTTAAATTTTATATTAATTTATAGTTTGTATGTATAATTTATATTAATAATATTATATTATTTTAGTTATACATAATTTTAGCTATATTATATTTAGTCAGTTTTATCATTTGGATATATATATATATATATATATATTGGATTCTATCTATTTCTCTGAATTCAACTATAATCTTTTTTATTCTAATTTTTATTAATTGTTTTATTTACATTTATGTTGGTTGTTATCTTAGAAATATAAGTATATCTTAGTAATATTATGTATTTTAAGATTTTTTGTGCTTAGAACGAAAAAAAAAAAAATTAAAGTGTCTGATTCTAAATTACATACATAAGTGATACTAAAATTTTGGAAGCTTATGAACACATATGAATAGTTACAATAATTAAAATATTTTGTAAAGTCTAAATAATTTATGCCTTAGATTGATTGGATGGTAAACTGAAATTTAT